CTTTCCTTTCCTTTCCTTTCCTTTCCTTTCCTTTCCTTTCCTTTCCTTTCTCCTTCCCTTCCCAAACCTTCCCTTCCCTCTTTTCCCTTTTCTTTCCCTCCCTTCCCCAGCCCCTCACACAATAAACCTCTGCATTCATCCCCACAAGTGATGGAGCCGCAGCTCCAGGCTCTGCTCCACCTTCCCAGAGCTGGAAAGGATCCAGAGGGTCCCTTCCCTTCCCACAGGGTGGTCCTGGGTGAGCACCGACCCCCCCTGCTCCCCCCCCCTTGTGCCAGGCTCAACCCAGGTGAAAAACAGGGATTCAGGGAAAACCAGATGCTGAATTTCCTGGGGAAACAAAAGGCACCCGGAGGCCGCATCCCGGCACTTCCCGGGGCTGCTCCGGCAGCTCCACTCCCAGATTCCCCGGGCTCAGGGACACGAGATGCTCCTAAAACTGTATCCCGAGGGTGTGGAAGGCGCAGGAAAGGCTGAGCTGCAGCACCTGGAGCAGCAGGTGAAGGAGCAGGACCGGGATGAGCCCCGGATCCGGCGGCTCCCGGATCCCCCTCAGAGCTGCCAGAGCCCCACGCGGCCGGGAATGCCGGATGTTCCCGGCCCCACGGTGGTATCCAAGCTCCTCCGAGGGACGTGGGATGCCCTGAGCCCCCACCCAAGACCCAAAGTGCTTCCCACGGGACGCCCAAGGGCACAGGGAGAGACGGCGGCACCGAGGAGGGGAGGGATGGAAAGGGAAAAGGAGTCCTGGGAGAAGGGGAGGGATGGAGAGGGAAAAGGAGTCCTGGGAGAAGGGAAGTGGCACAGGGCGCGCTGGGATCCACCCGGGAAGGACCCCCGGGCAGAAGCTCCTCCTGGAAAACAGGCAGAGTCCCCGGGGAGCCCACGGAACGCCGGGGCATCCACGGATGTGCCAGGAAACCCTTCCCTGCCGGGCACATTCCAAGGCCAGGCACTGCCCCCCCCCCCAAGGTGGGAAGTCAAAGAGGTGCCAGACGATGTCCCAGGCCCTAAGGAACGTCCCTTGTCCCCTCTGTGTCCCTCAAAGAGGGAAACCCTGCGAGCCGTGGAGATTCATTCCATGGACACGTGGAGATTCCATGGACACGGGGCTGCTCCCTGCGGCTCACGGGTGTTCCCCAAGCACTCAGTCATGGAATTGTTTAGGTCGGAAAACCCCTCTGAGTCCCACCCCAGCCCTACCAAAGCCAGCCCTGCCGCTGTGTCCCCAAGTGCCACCTCCCCAGGGATGCTCCATCCCCCCAGGGATGGGGATCCAGGGCTGGGAGGCCCTTCCCAGGAGGGATTTTTCCCAATATCCCAAATAAACCTCCCCTGAGGCCGTTTCCCCTCGTCCCTGGGAAAACATCCCAACTCCCACCTGCCCTGGGTGGGGGGGTCTCAGCCTCGCCCATGCCAGGCTGGGTGAGGAGCAGCAGTCGGGCCTCCCTTCCCGGCATTCCCAGAGCGGGAAGAGGCCTCTTGCTTCCCGAGGGACCCGAGCCCTGCAGGGCTGCAGGGTTTGACACATCCAGCGCTTCCCTCGCCGGGAGCCCACCCGGGCTCAGGGATTCCGGGGGGGGCTTTGGGATCGCTCTGAGGGAGCCCACCCGGGCTCAGGGATTCCAGGGGGGTCTTTGGGATCGCTCTGAGGGAGCCCACCCAGGCTCAGGGATTCCAGGGGGGCTTTGGGATCGCTCGGCTCCGACAGCCACGGCAAC